TAGTAGCACGGAGCTAGTATTCTCCACGTGGGAGTTGTTATTTTTCGACATTGTCGATGTTTTGACGCGTTGCTTATATGTGTTTACATATAGCCTTGTGCGTGATGTACTTGAGGAGGGGATCAGACTCTCAAGATTTTTTTATGGGGGTCGTGCCCCTTGTTAGACCTCGTGGGTCTTAAGTATGTTTGGACCGTGGCCACGTTTTAATGAGGGACCCGTCGAAAACAAGTAGATAAATTTGAGTAATCAAGCTGGCCAGGCTATATAGATTCTCATAATATTTCTAAGTGTTTCTAGGGTTGTAATCGTGCTAACTTGAGCTTGCGATTACATAGTGAGTTTCCGGCGAGTTGTCTCCTCATGGGAGTTGTCTCGCAGCGAAGTTGTAGAATCATTGGATGACGCACGACTGACGAGTGTGCGGATTGATGTCGCTCTGAGCGATTTCTCTCCTCGTGGGAGTTGTCTCGCATCGAGTCTTATTATCGAGTGAGGTGGTTGCACGTGGGAGTTGCCTTGCAACGGATTTGTAGTGTCGAGCGAGTTGGCTCCTCGTGGGAGTTATTTCGCTGAGGGTTCGTAGTACCGAGCGAGTTGGCTCCTCGTGGGAGTTGTCTCGCTGCGGGTTCGTAGTACCGAGCGAGTTGGCTCCTTGTGGGAGTTGTCTCGCTGCGGGATGTGGGACAGAGCGAGTTTGCTCCTCGTGGGAGTTGTCTCGCTGCAATTTGCGGGACGGAGCGAGTGGTCTCCTCGTGGGAGTTATCTCGCTGTGGTTATGAGACCCGAGGGAGTTGGCTCCTCGTGGGAGTTACCTCGCAACGGGTTATAGGACGGAGCGAGTGGTCTCCTCATGGGAGTTATCTCGCTATGGTTTCGTAGAACCGAGGGAGTTGGCTCCTCGTGGGAGTTGTCTCGCAAGCCCCCCACTCTCGAGACGATGTGGGAGCAAACTCGAAAGGGCTACCGGATCGTATTGAGAGTAGATCGGTGCTGTAGTCTTGCGTTAATCGTTGGCATGGCGTGGAGAAATAAAATTTTTTATTTTTATTTTCCATTAGATAGCGAACGCAATTTGGTAGGTGCGTTAAAGAGCTCGCGCAATTTGGTGGAGCGCGTTGAAATTCTCGTGCGATTTGGTGAAGCGAGTCAAAATCTACGCGCAATTTGGTGGATGGCGGTGAAAGTTCCGTGCGATTTAATGGGAGCGCGCAGTCCAAGGGCGCCTTGGAAAGCGCGCGCGCGTGCTTGCGCGCACCCCCATTAAATTTTTTTTTTTTTTTTTTTTTTTTTTTTTTCTGACGCTGACGCAGGCGCGCGTCAACGCGCGCGTGCGGTGCACGCGCGCCTCTTCTCCCTCTTTTTTTTTTTTTTTTTTTTTTTTTTTTTTTTTTGCTGAAGCGCGCGTGCTGTGCACGCGCGCGCGTCACGCGTGTTTGCCACGCGCGCGTGCGGTGCACGCGCGCCTCTTGCCTTTTTTTTTTTTTTTTTTTTCTGATGCTGACGCAGGCGCGTGTCGTCCCCGCGCGCGTGCGGTGCACGCGCGCCTCTTCTCCCTTTTTTTTTTTTTTTTTTTTTTTTTTTTTTTTGCGCTTTTGCTGACGCGCGCGTGCACTGCACGCGCGCCTCCTTTCCTCTCTTTTTTTTTGTTGTTTTTCTTTTTTCTTCTAATTCTTCTTCTTTCTTCTTTCTTTCTTCTTCTAATTCTTCTTCTTTTACTCTCTTTTTTTCTTGTTCTTGTATTTTTTCATCTTCTTTTTTCTTCTTCTTCTTTTTCATCTTCTTCTTTTTTCTTCTTCTTCTTTTTTCTTCTTCTTCTTTTTCATCTTCTTCTTTTTTCTTCTTCTTCTTTTTTTTTCTCTTTTTTCATCTTCTTCTGGGGTCTCGCGTGCGCGATTTTACCCTTTTTTTTTTTTTTTACGTGGTTGATGTTCACCCCATTGGGGATGTTCTATTTTTTGAGTAGGGAGATTATTCTCGTTCCTTGAGATGGGATGTGCACCCCCTTGGGGATGTTCTATTTTTTGAGTAGGGAGATTATCCTCGTTCCTTGAGATGGGATGTGCACCCCCTTGGGGATGTTCTATTTTTTGAGTAGGGAGATATCCTCGTTCCTTGAGATGGATGTGCACCCCCTTGGGGATGTTCTATTTTTTGAGTAGGGAGATTATCCTCGTTCCTTGAGATGAGATGTGCACCCCCTTGGGGATGTTCTATTTTTTGAGTAGGGAGATTATTCTCGTTCCTTGAGATGGGATGTGCACCCCCTTGGGGATGTTCTATTTTTTGAGTAGGGAGATTATTCTCGTTCCTTGAGATGGGATGTGCACCCCTCTTGGGGATGTTCTATTTTTTAAGTAGGGAGATTATCCTCGTTCCTTGAGATGGGATGTGCACCCCCTTGGGGATGTTCTATTTTTTGAGTAGGGAGATTATTCTCGTTCCTTGAGATGGGATGTGCACCCCTCTTGGGGATGTTCTATTTTTTAAGTAGGGAGATTATCCTCGTTCCTTGAGATGGGATGTGCACCCCCTTGGGGATGAAAGGTCAGTGGATGTACCACCCTTGAGAGGAGATGCCCAAATTTAGGATGGGATAGCCCCCCATTTAGGATGAGGCGATCACGAACCACTGGGGTGAGATGCCTCACCTTGGCGATATATGGTGCCACTGATTCAGTGGCAGCACGAGTTGAATCTTCCGTGATCATACGCTGAAGGTCTTCTTCGGTTATCTGAACCGTTCGAGAAGTAAGTAGAAATTGATCATGGTGAGGACCCAGTGGGGCCTCACGAGGAGGAGCGTTGGCTCCTGCTATGACGAGTGAAATGTTTTGGAGTCGATAACCCTTGGCGAACGAAATATTTTTGGGAGCAGATGTAAGCCCCCAGGGAGTCGATAACCCTTGGCGAACGAAATATTTTGGGGGCGATGTAAGCCCCCAGGGAGTCGATAACCCTTGGCGAGCGAAATATTTTGGGGGCATATGTAAGCCCCCATGGAGTCGATGGCGGTGGTGCCATAGGTGGCTCCACATGTGGAGCAGGTGCTGGTATCGCGTTGGGAGCATTTGATCCCATCGTGGCGATATATTGGGTCACGGCCTCTATGGCAGCGCGAGTTGAAGCTTCTGCTATCATGCGTTGAAGCGCATCCTCGGTTATTTGAACCATTCGAGGAGCAGGGAGCAGTGGATCGGCGAGTGGTTGGTCCCCAAAGGGGATCACCTGAACCTCGCGAGGCGGATCCATGGGATGTGGAGGAGGTGGCAAGCCAGAGCCTCCACGAGGTGGGAGGTCGTTTGCTGTGTCCTTTTCTCTCCGAGCAGACGCCTCAGGAGGATCTTGTTGGCTACGTGATCTGGTTTGCATCGTTCCCACAGACGGCGCCAAAATGATGATGCTAAAATATAGCTCACCTAGGGTGGTGTAGAAAATGAGCTGGGAGAGCAAAGCAGATCAGTAGTTTGACAACTTGATGATCCTGAGGTACCTTGATGCTAAAATATAGCTCACCTAGGGTGGTGTAGAAAATGAGCTGGGAGAGCAAAGCAGATCAGTAGTTTGACAACTTGATGATCCTGAGGTACCTGGCGATCACGAACACACGTGAACTACGCCGGGGGTTGATCCGGCGGAAACCCCTCCGACGCTCAAGTCAGACGTGCTGATCATAGAAATAGTCCAGAGAATACGTATTGTAGTATTGCTCAGTTAATAGGACATACCTTCATAAAATGAGTAAAACCTCTATTTATATGTCGTTTATTGGGTTGGGTTTGCTTTGTTGGGCCCAAGCCTTACTTGAAGGTGTTTGGGCCTCGGTGATATTAGTCTTCGATATTGGGCCCGTAGCCCATTAGGTAAAGAAATTGTAGGCCCATTGGGTTGGCCCAATTAGGCATATCAGTTATAATATATTCACAGAGCTTTACTTACATATATATATATATATATATATATATATATATGAAGTCGATCGATACAGCTAGGTTTTGTTACGTAACAAGGTTTTTCGGGCTTTTTAATATGGTTGAGCCCGACATGGAATATTTAAGGTTTGGCTTCATCGGCCCGATCCATAATCCAACCTAATTGTCCAGCTCGTATTACTTTGTATTGTATTAATACTTAAATGAGTAAAAATTGTACTATTAGCCCGTCTAGCTCAGTTGGTAGAGCGCAAGGCTCTTAACCTTGTGGTCGTGGGTTCGAGCCCCACGGTGGGCGTAAGAGTTATTATTTTTCATTATTGTTGTTTTTATTTTGTGTTTTGGTCCATTGAAAAGCTGAGCTGGCAAGCTGCGCTGGAAGATTACTATCCCCTCTTTGGATTTGTTCGATGCTACACCCGGTGA